TTTTTAGAATAAATTAATCTACGACGGATTTTTGCAGATTTCGAACATTCCTCGAGGTTTAGCTGATGCATGGCTGGCAGCAGGTGCTGACAAACAGACGCAGTTCACTTGGGATACTCGAAAAAATGATAACAAGCAAGCTTTTGGAGCAAGAACGAGGTTGGCTCAGCCCCATTCTTTTCCCTTTCTCATTATTCTCATCCATTTATCCAGGTTCGATAGAATTTTTTGGTACGGGCCACTTTCTCGAGTTAAGTTTTCACTTGCTGGTCAACAGCGGATTAGAAGCTGTCTCTGTTTTCCCTCTGATCATTGGGCTGTCCACTGTGAATTTTCTTGATCCTTTTAATCATATGGATTACTTTTGATGTGTCATTTTAAAAAGCGGCGTTATGATGGCTTTGGTCATGCTAAATTAATTGCCTAGAACTTATCTGCATAAAAATCCTTCTTATTGTCAAATTCTCTCTTGATATGTTCTGTTGTCATTAGCAGCAACGCCTTCAATTATGTACTTTGACCAATGAACAATTACCGCTTCTCCTTTAACGATTTGTAGTTGGTAATTCTATTTCCTGTCTCAAGCATAATCACTTAAAAGTTGCTTTAAACACAAAAAGCCTGTATGACTTAATTTTAACATTTTGTTATGATCTCTATACTCGGTGTCACGACCTTGTTGTAGCTTAATTTAGTCAATTGTATGATTTAGAAGTGTGATAAATTTTTTGCTTATTGATTTTTTAAATCAAAATTCGATGCGGTTATTCGTAGTCATTCTGCTTCTCAAACATATAAAAAAATTTTGCCCTCTCTTTGGGATTTATCGTAAGGAGAAATTAAATCTTTTATATTGCAGATAAAACATTTCCCTTGTTGTCCATTTTTTAGAACAAAAACATTAATCTTCCATAATCGATATTCTTTCGTAGTCTTCCCATATTTTCATGGAAAACAGGAAGTTAGGCAAGAAAAAAAGGACACGCTCTTTTTTCCCTTCATGGATTTCATATTGCTATCAAAGAACATGGTTCAAATCACTAAGTAAGGAAATCTCATTTCCTAATTTAGGGCAAATTCTGGTTTCAACTTCATTTGACTTTTGTAGATCT